TTTTTATTCGATCTTAACATCGAGACTTCATCGGAAGAACCAGGACGAATCTCCGTGCGGCAAACAGAGTGAAGCCTCGATGCAATGGCCGATGTAATGAGCCCGGCTCGCGAGTTGCAAAATATGTAGACGATCGTGGCAAACGGGCCTTAGATTTATGCTTTCAGTGAAGCAACGCGGCGCGAGATCGGCGTGAAAATGGGCCGCGCTCTCGAAGACGCCGTCGAGGATGGAAATGAGACCGTGTCGAAACTTGTGCATTATTAAAATTATTGCCTCCCTGGTTCTGATCTTTATTGTGGCAAATGATGAGTTGTCGGCTAGGTCGTTTTACCGATACGAATGGAAGCTCTGCCTTGTGTTCTCTAATTAGATAACGAGCTAAATTCCCTGCTTTAATTGCGTTCACTTTAAGAAACATTGGTAAAACGATCGGTTTATAAAACAGTATTACGTACGTATACGAATGTGTTAATTATCAACTAACTATATCTTGAAGAAACAAGTCGTGGCGTAGTCTATCTGAAGTCTTCCTGATATTTCATAATATTCATAATATTTTTATGAATCAAATCTTTTGCACACTGTTACACATGCAAAGTTATTAAAAGGATCCCTGAACGAAACGAATCCTAGAGCAACGATCGTGGTGTTATTCATGATGGAAATTGCGAAGTTTCTGAGCTGCGATAAGCATTGAAGCTGCTCCGTATATAAGGAATTATGGGTCTTCGTGATTTCCTGACTATAGGACATGTGGACGTATAAATGTTAAATAACTTAATCTAATGTAATAACTAGTTCAGGTGACACGTAACATACTTGGATAACATGTGTTAATGAGCAACAGGAATTACTTTAAACGGGTCGTGATTTGGTTAATAGCGAAACATTTGAGGTAACGCTAAATTGCCGATAATTATCGAAAGTTGTTGTATCTTAACATTAAGATACAACAAGAAGGAATATTCTTTAGCTAATAACAAACTTTCTATTAATTTATTTGCCAACTATTGAGATACTTGTTGATATTCCTCTGTCATTATGAACGATAATTCTCTCAAGAAATATCGACTGTTGGAAGATGCTGAATGTCGAATGACAAAATTTCGACGAATAGCTAAAAAAACAAAAGCACATTTAATTTATTGCAACACATATCGCAGAAAATATTTGGACTTGAATACATTGAGAGTGCAACGTGAAATCCGGTTCGCCAGATTGTAGGTGTCGAATAGAAGAAACAAGCTCGTTCAGTCACAGCGAAAGGCAGAATGACTCAACATATTCATGAGTGCATGTTTTATTAAAATTCCTAGCGAATATCATAGCTTTTCGTGGAACTAGCGGTACGTTCTTGTAAATTGTCAAACAAGACCTTTTTCTCCTTTTGGAACGTACGGGCAGCATTGGGAATCCCAAGTTTTTATGGAACTTCCTTTTGTTAGCCGAGCTCTTTGTTTCGAGATTATAAAAATTTGCTCGTCCACCCCTCGCAAAAAAATATTGATATCTTTCCTCAACACAAGAGGCAAAAATAATCGGTCTAGATTTCAAAATACCGTAAACTTTGTACAATTTTAGGAGTCTGGCTCGTTCGATCTCTTTTTTTAGTTTTTAATTGTCCGTGTTTACACAAATTCAAGTTATAAATCCCACAGTTATTATCAGGAATTTAAGATAAGATAAAGAAACGAAGTAAAAAGCTAAGTGCCTGTAATCTTTTTCTTCAGAGAGCAATCGCTCGCGAAAATGATCTGCCACGAGATGAACAAGGTCAAACCACGGAATCTGTTATCGCTACCTTGTAACATATATCTTTTTATGATTGCACGCATCCGCGAGACACTCATTAGACACCGAGTTTTCTACCGATTCGTGGTATCAGTAACGAGAAAACGTATCCCGAGGTATCGATTGACATGGCGCTTCTGGCTGTTGATCCTCGACCTGCACTGGCTCGCGTTCGTGCAACCGGTTAACCAACGTCCAAGACATCTCCCAAGACCAGTGTTAAATTCCAACCGAGTCACTGGCTTTTTGGCGAACAAATCTTTTCCATAATGGATAAGAGCCGGAGGAAACAAAACGTCCACAAGGAGGCAATAAAAGGAGACGACTTCTTAACGTTCTACCGGGGTATTCCCAAAATCCTCTTCAGAATTTGTTTTCTCTCTTTTTTTTTTTTTTTTTTTT